GTCTAAACTCCTAAGTATCAAATTGAAGGAGCCTGAGTTATGGGGTGACTTCAGGGTTTCTGTTGCAGGGTAAGTTGATATTAAAAAGTCAAACAGGATTAACTTGCACTAAGCTGTAAAGTACATTGAGTACCTTCAAGACAGAAGTGCCAGCTGAGCAGAGCACACTGCAGCTTTCTAGGGGATGAAACACTACAGGGAGTGATTTGATTTACTTGCATTGTTAGGAGAATGCAATACTGACACTTGGGATGGGGGCAAGCAAGAGAGACAGAGCATGGCCTCAGCTGAAATCCTCCTCAAGGCAAAACAAAGCCAGTATTGATGCGGCCAGCCATCACGCAGTGTCCAAGTTCTTGGAAAAGCCTTTGCAGGAGAGCGAGCTGCTTACCAGAGCTGTGCTCCGTGTGCAGGGCCGCAGGCGCCTGGAAGCAAGAGGAGCGCTCGTGCCCTGCGGTTATTTGGGGCTTCGAGGATGGAGTGTTGCAGAGTATCCAGAGCAAGGGATGCCAAAAAGCTGGTGAGTCTTCACGCAGGGGGTGGCCAGACCATCACTCTGGTGTCGGTGCCTTTTGCGAGTGATCTGAGCTGTCTTCACACAGGGGGTGGCCAGACCATCTTTCACCAGCACTCTGGCGTCGGTGCCTTTTGCGAGTGATCTGAGCTCCAGGCTTTGCCTGTGTAATAAGGGCAGCCTGGGAGACCAGAATGAAATGGGCCGTCTGACGGAGCAGGGCTGCGGCAGTACCTCTCTGGTTGTTAAACTCTGCAGCGTTGAGCTGTGCGGGAGTCCTTAGCTAGTAAAACCTGCTGTGCTTCCTTTTGTTTCATTTTAATGAGCATTTGGACAGGTCCCTGAGCACTGAGGTAGCATTAGGCTTCAAAAGTCTTCAGCCGTGTGGCAATAAGTCAGTTTGTTTTCTTGCTGTTAACGTGCTCTTGGATGAGGAGAGCTCTTTATGTGCGAGTGCCAGTGTGCTTCAACCCGTGTGTGCCGATACAAGTCACACAGACTGAGCTCTTTGCAGGAGCCGGCCATATAGACTATCATTAAAATTTCTGATCAGAGACCCAATTTACTTGAATAGGAATAGGGGAGGAAAAAAAGAGTTAAAAGGGGGGAAGCAGGGGAGCCACGGTTTTGTGTTCTTAAAATTTGGGTTGTTTTGTTTATTTTTAACCAGCCCTGTGAACAAGTGTGCATCAAGTGTGCATATCTCATGAGTAGTGAAGTGGGCTGTTTGGAATAGATCTGTTGACCTTGCTAGAGGTGGTGTGAGTTTGTGCCAATCATTTATGTTATACTCTCAAAGGGAGAAGAGCTTCATTAAAAAATAAGAAGTTTGAGGTTTAACTCCACTTTGGTTTTAGCTTTTGCTATCAAAGCCTTTGTTAGTGTGTTGAGGTTTCAGGTTTTTGAGGGTTTTGTTCTAGCTTGTGTTCTTCATCCTCTACCTAAGAGGAAGAAAAACCCCACTTTTCAAAATCCTTTAATCTGGTAACACAGGGCATTTTCATTTTATTTATAGCAAGCTGTTCCTTCAAATTCAAACCACAGTGTTTGCCTGAGCTAGGAGGTGGAACGACTCTTTGGCAAGTGTAAGGATCAGTAAATGGGTATAACTGCCATTATACTGGCGTTAATAAAACGAGATACTCTGTGGGCTCCTGAAAACAAGGATATAAAATTAAATTTGAATCAGTGAATCATCCTAGAAACCACTTGCTTATAGAGCCTGATGACATTTAGCAGGCTTTGGGAGGTAACAAGCAAATGAAGGGAAACCTGTCACTTGTGTTGCTCATTTTTCAGATGGCTCTCGTTTGCAGATTGTGGTTTGGATAAGCTGCTCCTGAAGCTGTTTAAAAAAAATTTCACACATTACTAATTTGATAAAAATTATCTTTAAAACAACACTTTTTCTGGGAAGACCCATATGTTTTAGTTTCACTTGACCAATCTTTGCTGTACGTGAAAACCTGTCTGTTGCTAGACACGAGCTCTGCCAGTGTGAATTGGCACAGCACTGCGCAGCAAGGTGCCGTTTGGTTTTAATCCCTCGTTGGTGCCCTTAGCAAATATCTAATCCAGCATACCTAGGCAAAAGAGGCTGCGGCATGGACAGCAGCAATAAGATTATGATCTCCAGAGCAGGCTGACTGGTTTTGGTCTTTGTTTGTTACACAGCCTGGCTGATGGAAGCAACCTCCTTGACTTGTGGTGTTAAGTTAGGACAACAGTAAAATATTCTCCAAATGAATTCCCTGTTGTACAGCTCTGTAAATCTGTGTGCTGTTGTAACGGAGACTGTGCCCTTTGCAATAGCCACAACAGAACTTTCTTAGAGAAATAATTAAATTTGTGTTTAGTTTAGAATTCTCATCTGTTAAAATATTTCACGGATTGTCCTTTAGGGAGGTGGAAGAGGGAAAATGTTATCCACACCTTACAGGTGATGGCCAGGAAATCTTGACTGTTGGTCTCAGTTCCAGAGCGGGGCAGTCAGGCTTCTGGCATGTTAACAGGAGTGGTTTGGTTTTTCACAAAAGAGGAAATCTTTACTCACTGTCCAAACAAGTCCATTTTTATGATAACTCGGTTAAAAAGGCCAAAGAAGGCAGCGTGCCTGTGTAAGCTGCTGCTTGGGATGGGAGACGGAGGGGAAGACACGGTAGCACGAGGTCTCTGGCAGCAGAGCACCAGGCAGGGCTGGGCAGGAGGAGGATGAGGAGGACCATGCGTGCAGGTCGGAGTTCACCCATCTTAACTTTGCACTGTGTCAATTCCAAGAATGCTGCTGGTTTTCCGTATCTTTCCTGTCACTGCTGACTACCCAAATGGCCTATACATTCTGTGCCTCTCTTGGCGCTTTCCCCTTTATCATACCAAGTAGCACCCAGAGCCTTGGGGAGAAGAGGACACAGGAGAAGGAGACATGTTTGCTGCTGGTTTGCTGTGATCTCCATCAGGGAAGGAGCAGGGGGCACAAAAGGGTCAGTTTGGTTTGTTTTCCCCTTTTAGACTTCATAGGGTGTCTTCTAAATCTGCAGCTTTATTGGCTATGGATTGTGTTGCTTTTGATCTTTTATCTGCAGTAGCTTTTTTCCCCATTGGAGCAATTGTCATGCGGTCCCCGATTTCCATGAACGCTAAACAGAATGACACAAAAGTGAAGTGGTGTTGCTGTAACAAAACCTATTAATAGCTTTGCGGAGAGGCACTGACGCATCTCAGATAGAACACTTGGAATTAAAGCTGAGGAGAATTATCATCTCTGCAGACTGTTTTCCCAAAATGTGCAGTGAATTTTAAGTGCTCAGTTAGAGATGCTTTCAAAGGGCTGTGAGTTTTCAATAAAATGTTTAAGATCAGGTTTGCCTGAGACTTCTCAACTTGGGCTTACCCAAACTGAGAAAAACATTTCTAAATCTCTGTTGAAAATGTTGGCCCAGTGGCTTTGTTCAAACACTGCTGAGCAGTTTCTATTTTTCTGATAAATATTTGTTCTATTTGACACCTGTTGTTTCCAAACAAAAAACATTTTTAGTGCCTTTCTGAAACACAACCCTGGCAGCGAGAGGTGGTTGTGGCCGGGATCGCCATGGGGCTGGTGCTGTTGGGTTCCCGGGGGCAGTGCTGCCCCGGTGCTCTCCGGGGGGTGCTGCCCGGCCTCCCTGCATCTCCCTTCCGGGGCCTCGGCCAGAGGGGATGCGTCGCATCGTTCCAGCGTTCGGCAGCGCTGCCCCAGTGCAGTGCCGTGCTGGTGGATGGTAACTTCAGACTGTGCGGCTCTGGGTCACCCCCGGCAAGAGCTGACGCAGACTTCAGCGGTGAGCACGGTGCTCTGAACTGCAGCTCGGCTTTCCACTGGTGGGAGGGGGAGCTCAGGATCTTCATTTTGGGTTTTCCAAATTGCACCAACTTAAAATGCCTGTCACAGACTAGTGATGCCCATGGGTGTTGGTCTGGTACAAGTGTGATAGCCCGAAGTTAAGCTTATTAAGGTTAATTTGTTGATGATATCATGCTGGGTAAGGGCTTGCAGGCGCTTCATGACAAGAATGTAAAGAACGTTAGTTTAGGTCAACGCTTCACTCCAGTGTACAGAGCAAGCTCTTGCTGTTTACCTTGACATAGGTCGAGCCTCTACTTCCTTTGTTGCAAAGGTACAATTCCATATTATCCTATAATCCCCTTATGGAATATATACATGTTTGGAATATATGCTTACCAGAACTGTCTCTGTCATATCAACTATGCCTAAACCCTCTATTTTGAAACAGTTCCTTCAGAAATGGGAGCAGAGCCTGTTACTGATGAAGCACGGGAAATTTTTGCTTTTTGGTTTCATTAAGATGTGGAGTTCATTATGATTCCTCAGTTACACACATGGATAACAAACAGCAAGGTCAGAGGCAGGATCAGAGGAAACACCTGACACTATTTTGACCCAGATTTCAGAGCTGCAGTGCAGGATGCTGGATTCATGTGAGATTTTGGATTTATTTTAAACACAGCCATTTATCTTTGAGACACAAATATTTCCCAGTGTTCGCTGAGCTATTGCAGAACATCACAATGTTTTTTACCTGTGGACTCCATCAGATTTTTTGGCCATTAGTGACAGCAAATGAAACCAACTCTGAACAGGAGTGGGGAATTCACAGCAAAGGCTTGCTCCAAGCATAATGGACAGACTCAGCAACAGGGATGGAACAGATGTGCTCTTAGTCCTCCTGACCTTTACAGTAGGATTTGCTTCTGTTTCTCTAGGGTTGCCTTGTCACTTGAATTTTTTTAAAGCCACCTCACTGGTATTAGTTTTATTTAACACTTGTCGAAAATGAGATATTTAGTTCACTTCAAGTAATTGGTGTCATCTGTCAAGTGTTCTCAGCCAGGTAAGGCATGGATATTTATTCTGACAGGAGAGCACAGAAAATATGGGCTGTATTCAGCTCTTCATGGGCTGTACTCAGGTTTTCATTATTTCTTACAGGACACAGATATATCAGTCAAGCTGCAGCTAAAATTGATGTGGATTTTGATTATGATGGACCCCTAATGAAGACAGAAGTTCCTGGACCACGATCTAGAGTACGTTCCCAAAGTAGAATGGCTTACATTTTTTTTCTTTATCTGTGTTTAACTTGCTAGAAAACAAATTTCGTTCCAAACCTTAAATCTGATATGGGTAAACATATCAAGATGCTGAGAATGCAAAGTTCCTGAATGAAATGCCCCTCTCTGAGAGAGGGATCTGAGTCTCAACTGCCAGCTTCCCGTATGAAGTAATTGAAAGCAGAAGACCATGAGTTTGATGAAACATCTCCTCAGACTTGGTTACTTGTGCTC